AAGGCAGACGCTTAACCATCTGAGCCACCCAGGCGCCCAAGGATGAATTTTTTTAAAGCCATCTTGTGATATACAATAAAATATCCTATGACAGCATTATATGCTGTGAAGGCAGACTGTATTTTCCAAATATGGCTGCAACAGTATCTCCCATTTACATGGTGGTCTACAATGTGACTTTGACCCTTCTATCAAGAAGTGAGGTCTGAATATACTTTTCTCCTAAATCTGAGCAGGCTTGTGACTGAATCCCTCGTAGCCAAAAGAATGTGGTAGAAGTGATGCTGTGTGACTTTTGAACATAGGTCAGAGAAGATGCAGCTTTTGCCTTATTCAATGAATTACTCTTGCTTGGAGCCTGAGCCACCATGAAAAAAGTCTGACTACCCTGAGGCTGCCATGCTATGAGGAAGGCAAGGCAACAGGGAGAGCATGTACAGGTGCTCAAGCTGGCAGTCCCAGTTTTTGTGCCCTCAAAGCCCAGACTAGACATGAATGAATGAGCTTCCAGATTATTCCAAAACCACTAAAGATCCAGAAAGCTAGTTACCTCTCACTATGTAGTCTAAAAAAATGCTTATCTCTCAAAAATATTAACAAACTAATTCCAAAGAGAAAGAAGGTACTCATAGATCCTATGAATGGAAGTTACTTTCAGGAAAAAAAAATGCATATTCTCCTTGACTCAGTAACTCTAGATAACAAAATTTATCCTTCGTAAGAACACAAACATCCTTTGATGATTCATGAGTTCTATTCTTAAAATTTATTCTACAGAAAAGGATACACTCCCTTTGTCTACTTCAACAAGTAGACAAAAATGTGTATAGGAATACATATACTCAATACTGTTTGTAATAATGAAAAACTGAAAATAATATACACATATATAAAAGAGTAAGTTGGTTAAATTATAATACAGCCATACAAATAAAATACCAAGTATCCATCAGAAAGGATAGAATAGGCCAAAATCCACCAACATAGAAAGACATTTAGGCAGTTGAATGAAAAAAGCAAGAACAGTACCTACCATATGATCCCTACAGACATATAAAAATCCCCATCCACCATATATAGATCTATACATATTCACAGAAAAAAGTCTGGAAAGATATATTTAAACTTTTAAAACTGATTATTTTTAGAGAATAATAAAGACAAAGGCTTTCATTTTCTGCTTTTTTCATTTTTATACTGTAAAATTGAATGTATTACTTTTATAATCCTAAAAAACAAAGTTGGGTTTTTTTCCTAAGAGAATCATGTAATGCAGAAAGAATATAAACAGAAAATTAAGAGACCCTGTAAACAAAGTAGAAACCTTTACTGAATAGTAAGTATAAGCTTCTATATGATTCATACATACACAAAGCATGGCTTTATTTCAACATTAATAACTGTGAGAACAAAATGCTTACTAAAAAAAAGTAAAACTCTTATAATTAAGATTAATTTGCTGAAGATACTAACAGGGTGATGAGATCTAAACTAAATCAAATTGTACCATCATATTAACAGGCCCTAACTAAACACTGTTACAGATAAATGCTCTATCTAGACTCAATTATTATCTATTTAAAGACATGACTGGTTTTTTTCTAAAGTGGTACTTACAGTTCTCTACAATTTCATCAAAAACTGCACCAGTTTTCTGCTCAAACTGAAAAAGCAAAAAAGGAAAGAGAAAAATAACATTATTGTCACATTCTATCATACTTTCTGGTATCCCTCCTCACTCCCCCAAAAGCTGTAATTTTCAATACAAAGTATACAAATTCACAACATAATCAAAACGCTGCCAGAGTAAAATATAATTTAGAACTAATAAAAGAAATCCGCACGTGAAAACCCCCAAACCAAAAATAGATAAATACATGCCCTCATATAAAAAACTTGTTTTTAAATTACTTTTAAGTCACAAGATACATACAGTCGTGTACAGTTATAATAATAATGACAGCCACACTTATGGAGAACTTACTAACACTGATAACTACTTAAAACCTCTAACCAAAATTAAACAGAACAATCAGCATCAAATAGGTTTTGCTTAGCCAGAAATCTGCTGCTCTGCAGATGAGTTAGCCATGTTACAGGGATGCTCCTATTTCAGTATGTTAGGGCCTAAGACAGAAGCAGAGCCAAGTCTGAGGTAATTTTGGATCTTTTAAGACAGAGATGCAAGGGGTGGGGCTCACTCAAGGGTGAAGCATGCAACTCTTGATCTCCGGGTTGTGAGTTCCAGCCCCATGTTGGGTGTAGAAATTTTTTTTTTTACAAAGGGATATATATAAAAATAACTAACAGAGACCGGGGTGAGGGGCGAACCACAGCAAAGGCAACTCTACCCAGAAGCTAAAGACACTCGCATGGTCCACTTTAGTCTGTAAAGGTCTCCTCCTTTTGGCAACTATGAGCATTCCAGCCTCTTGTTTTTCTTCCTACTATTCATCAATGAGGCAAGAACACAAGGAAGGCTGCTTTTGATAAACCTTGCCCAATAAAACCCAGAGTGTGTCTCCCCATTCAAGCGAAAAACTTTGCAGAAAAAAAGAACTACCTAGATACTTATGCAACTACAGAGGAAAGACAACAGCTGGCTGTAGTAGTAATCAATAGTATCTGATATGTATAAATGTGAAGAGACAACCAATGATCCCAGGTTTCTGAAATAACTATGTGAAGGAGAAGGCTCAAGGTGAATAAACAGAACCACCACTCTAGAAGGAAAACAATTAATTTACAGAAAGGAAACTTCTACGACATAAAAAAACTAAAAACAACCACAAAAAGGAGACGAGCGAATATTTGGAAACAAGAAAATGACTGCAAAATTAAAATTTTATTGGAAAGCCTAGTGATAAAGTTCTGTTTCAAAAACAACATAAAGTCAAAGAGCTAGAAAAGACAGCCTACATGATGACATGGAAAGACTGAAGCAGTAGGTCTAAGAGCAAACTCAAAGGCATCCCCAAAAGGGAGAATAATGGAAAGGTGAAATAATAGAAGAAAATTTTCCCGAACAGAAAATACAAATATTTGAGATTGAATGGGCCTACTAAATACCAAAGAGGAGATGGAAAAAAGATACATCCTGGTGAAATATCAGAATTCCAAAAGAAAAGAGCAGAGGAGTAAAAAGAATTATAGTGTAGGTGACTCATAAAACACATTTAACATAACTGAACTCAACTATATAAACGTGAAAAAGAAAGGAAAGAAATAGTAAAGGCCACTCCACCTACCAACTACCCAATGAGTTATGCCCCAAAATAAAACAGAAATGGGACATATGACTCGGCAAGCCAAACAACGAAAGTACTTGTCTGCACCGAAGGGGATCCAAATGTTTAAAGATAAGATACATTTTGTACACTACTACCCCTGTACACTTTGCATGCACAACCAAAGTACAATCTTGCTCAATGATGTAAGAAAAGATAAAACATAGTAGTGACATTACCCATGGTGACATGTCTATACTTTATGGGTAACTTAAGATTTTCTAAGGTAATTTGGATTATGTACCATTTCACTTTGTGAGCTGATTATAAAACTGACGGGATAATATAGTATTGTGATTTAGTCTCCTAACAGTTTCTGTGTTCTATAAGAAACAAGAATCAGGCTGATATCACACTTCTCTGCAAGATGAGACACAAAAGATCAATGATTATCATGTTCAAAAAGAAAAGAACTTAGACCACACAAATTTTATTATGAAAAATACTTAACAAAATGGAAATGAAATACATTAATTAAAATTATACTGGGCACAAGAAACAGTAGCAACTGATTATGACTCAGAAGAAATGAAAAAACCTAGATGGGAAGAACATGAGAAGACACTTCAGAAGACACTTGTTTGGCAAAAATTCTACGATTTTCTTCTCTATGGTTCAAAAACAAAACCTTTGTTTTCTTACCTCTCCTTCCCTCCCTCCCATACAGCAAACAAAAAAACAAAGACAAAGACTGAAAATACTGCCACTGATGCCAAACAACTAACAAGTTTGTTTACAATATACAATATCATCCACCAAGTCCCTTTTTTTTGAGACTGATAAACATTTCAAAACCATAGGGACAAAATGGATTTGTTTGCCTAAAGCTGAAAAGAAAGACAGGAGGATTGCTAATGAGTAGGAATGCTTTTTTTTTTTTTTAATTGAAGTATAGTTGACACACAATGTTATATTAGTTTCAGGTGTACAACACAGTGATTCAACAACTCTGTATGTTATACATTACTCTATGCTCACCGGAAGTGTTGCTACCATATGTCACTAATATGACACTATTGAAATACCATTGACTATATTCCCTATGCTGTACTTTTCATCCCCATGACTTACTCATTACTGGAAGCCTGTACCTCCCATTTCCCTTGACTGCTTTATGCCCACCACCACCCCTCTGACAACCACCAGTTTGTTCTCTGTACTTATGAGTCTGGTTCTCCTTTTTGCTTGTTCATTTGTTTTATGAGATTCCACATACAAGTGAAATCATTTTGTTTTTGCCTTTTTCTGACTTATTTTACTTAGCATAATACTCTCTAGGGTCATCCATGTTGTCACAAATGGCAAGATCTCATTCTTTTCTATGTCTGAGTAACATTCCATTGTGTATATATACATTTTCTTTATCCATTCATCTAGTCATGGACATTAAGGCTGCTCCTGTAAATAATGCCATAATAAACAAGGGTGCATATATCTTCTCAAATTAGTGTTTTCATTTTCTCTGGGTAAAGACCCAGTAGTGGAATTACTGGATCACATGGTATTTCTATTTTTAATTTTCTGAGGAACCTCTATACAGATGATTTCCTGTGGCTGTACCAATTTACATTCCCAACAGTGAACAAGGGTTCTTTTTTCTGCACATCCTCACCAACACTCGTTTCTTGTGTTCTTTACTTCAGCCATTCTGACAGATGTGAGGTGATTTCTCATTGTGATCTTGATTTCTATCTCCATGATGATTAGTGATATTGCACATTTTTTCATGGGTCTGGTTAGCCATTTGTATGTCTTCTTTGGAAAAATGTATGTTCAGGTCCTCTATCCATTTTTAATCGAATTATTTGGTTCTTTTTCATGTTGTTGTGTAAGTTCATTACATATTTGAGATATTAACCCTTTTATCAGGTTTATCATTTGCAAATGCCTTCTCCCATTCATTAGGTTGCCTTTTCATTTTTTTGGTTTCTTCACTGTGCAAAAACTTTTCATTTTGGTGTATTCTACTTTTGCTTTTATTTCCCTTGCCTGAAGAGACACATCCAGAAAAATGCTGCTAAGGTCAAAGCCAAAGAGATTACTGTTTATATTTTCTTCTAGGAGTTTTATGGTTTCAAGTCTCACATTCAGGTCCTTAATGCATTTTGAAATTATTTTTTGTGTATAGTATAAGAAAGTGGTCCAGTTTCATTTTTTGTATGTAGCTGTCCAGTTTTCCTACCACTTACTGAAGAGACTGTTTTTTCCCTTCTTGCCTCCTTTGTTGTAGATTAATTGACCATATAAGCATGGGCTTATTTCTGGGCTCTCTATTCTGCTCCCTTGATCTATGTTTCTATTTCTGTGCCAGTACCATACTTTTTTATTATAATTTTGTAGTAGATCTGGGTACAGGACTTCTTTCTCAGGTGATGAAAATGTTCTAAAACTGTGGTTGCACAACTATAAAATACTAAAAACTACTGAATTGTGTGGCTGCTCAACAATGTGCAAGCAGGTAATACTAACAATGCTCTCAATTAAATGACAGGCAACACTCCAGAACACCTGTGTGGCCTATAATCTCAACAATTGGGTGACAAAAATTTATCAGTAACACTTAGTTTGGTGATAACATAATGGTTTTACTAAACATGTCTGAGTGCTTCTTGTCCAACCTTTTGGACATTTGTAAGTAAGAAATGAGTATAAGCAGTTACAAAGTTAGCTATGAAATTAATGTCTTACTAGTCATCCCTCAAGTTTCATAAATATTTAACTGAATTTAAAAGCCAACCCAATTTAATTTTTAAGAGTCTGTAATAACTATTAGTGTATGCAGGGATTTTCTCAATATTATGAAACCAAAAGTAAAGATTTTTAAAATAAACAAGTGTGGATACTGATTTAAGACAAAACATATCAGTTCATTTTTAATTGTCAAAACACTCTCATAGACAAAACATACCAGTTCATTTTTGTCAAAACAGTCTCATGGGTTCTACCCATTAACTTCAAAACATGTAACTGTTACACACATAAACTTATAAAATAAATGTTATAACTTTAAGAAGTATGACAACAAATTAGTTAAGAGCATGGGCTCCAGTCTCAGATCACCTGAGTTTGAATCCAACTCTGCCACTTACCAGCTATGCAACTTTTAGCCTTAAATTTCCTCATCAGTAACATATGAAAATAGTGATACCTACTTCCCAGGATTGCCAGGATGATTAAATGAAAGTACTAAGCATGGTGCTTTTAGCAAACTATAAATACACAATAAATACAAGCTATTATTACCACACTACTAAAAGTTATCTTCCCTTGCTTTAAAAATCAGGGTTCACGGGTGCCTGGGTGGCTCAGTTGGTTAAGCGACTGCCTTCGGCTCAGGTCATGATCCTGGAGTCCCAGGATCGAGTCCCGCATCGGG